AACATTCATAATAAATGACATCTATTATTCCTGTGAGACTATCAGAAAGATGTGTATTTGTGCTTTCTTGATTATGCAAAGACTTTTGATTGTGTGGATCATGACAAGTTTTGGATAACAAAGCAAAAAATGAGTATTTCCAGAACACTTAATTATGCTCATGAGAAACCTGTACATAGACCAAGAGGCAGTCATGAGTACCTTAAAATCAGGAAAGGTGTATGCCAGGGTTGTAGTCTTTCACCATATTTATTCAATCTGTATGCTAAGCAAATAAAACAAGAAACTAGATTATGTGAAGAACACAGTATCAGATTTGGAGGAAGATTCATTAACAACCTGTGACATGCAGATGATGCACTTTTGCTTGATGAAAGCAAAGAGGCCTTAAAAAAATGATGATATGAAACCAAGTGTATGATTTGTTGCATGTAAAACTGATGATGTGCTCTGTAAACCTTCACTCAATTCACAGTAAAAAGTAAGAGAGAAAAAAAATCAAACAAACTTATTGATAAAGATCAAAGACTACAACCTTCAATATGGATTGCACTCCAAGATCAAGAAAACAAAAATCTTCACGACTAGATCAACACATAACATGATAAATGGAGAAAAATGTGAAATTGTCCCAAAGATTTTATTTTGCTTGGATCCACAATCAACACTCATGGAAGCAGCAGTCAAATAATCCAAGGATGTACTACTGTATTAAGCAAATCTACAGCACAGGACTTCTTTAAAGTGTTCAAAAGCAAATAGACCAGTTTGAGGACTAAGTTGGACAATGAATAAGGAAGACTGAAGAAGAATTGATGCATTTGAATTGGGGTGTTGGAGAAGAATAGCGAAAATTCTATCAACTGCCAGACAACAAACAAATCAGTATTGGAAGAAGTACATCCAGAAGGCTCCTTAGAAGCCAGGATAGCAAGACTGTTTCTCATACTTCGGACATGTCATTATGAGGGACCAGACCCTGGAGAAGGATATCATGCTTAGTAAAGTGGAGGGCCAGTGAAAAAGAAAAAGAGCCCCAAGAGATGGATTGGCACAGTGGGAGCAGCAATGGGCTCAGGTGTGACAATGCTGGTAAGGGTGGCACAGGCCCAGGCAGAGTTTTGTTCTGTTGTGGTCATTATGAGTTGGAAGCAACTTGACAGTAGCTTACAACATTACTTCTGTGAGTTTAGGCTAATTAGTTTGATTTCAGAACCTCAGTTTACTCACTAGAATATGTGGTTAGAGATCAAGCAAGATAAAAGTACCTAAAATAGCATTATACAACTATAACACACAACACAAACATATAGTATTACTAATCTTCTATTGAGCATCATTTTTCTTTAAATCTTCTTTAAATATAACCATGATAACCTCATGAGCCTGCACTCAGTAATGTTGAAATATTCTGATATCTATCAATGTTGTTGTTGTTAAGTGCCATACAGGCATTTGTGACTCATAGCGACCCTGTATAGGGTTTCTGAGGTTCAAATCAACCTTGCAGTCCAGCGCATTAACCCACATCCCCACACCAGTTCTCCAGTCTCTATGAATTGGAGATGAGATATAGACCAGCAGTTTACATTAGAAATATAACTTGAACCACAAATAGGATTCTCAATTAAAATTTTTCTAGCAGTCACATTAAAAAGATAAAAAGAAATTGGTGACATTATATATATTAATCAACTCCATGGCTCAGCTTTCAGGCAAACAACAGACAGGACTATAAGGTGAACTATAATACCAGGGAGGCACCCTCTCCTAAGAACAATCACCCATGGAAGACCAAAGGGTAGCATTTGTCCAATAAAGCTCAGAAGGCAGGAAGAGATAAGAAAGAAAGACAAGGACAAATGGAAAAGGGAAACAGGGAAGAAGTAGAATGAATGCTGTTACATTGTGGAGATTGCAATCAATGTTACACACAAAAAAATATGTATGAATGTAAAACCAATTTGCTCTGTAAACTTTTGCTTAACTCACAATTTTTTTTAAAAAAACCTATTAAAATAACATTAATGGTTAATGCATATTGTTGTTAAGTGTTGTCAAGCCAATTTTGTATAGTGTTCCTGTATAGGGTTTTCAAGGAGTGGCTGGTACATTTGAACTGCTGATCTTTACGTTAGCAGTCCAGTGCTTACCCTATAGTATCATAGCACACACCCATTGTATATATTTAAACCCATTCTGTACAAAATGAGCCGTGGTACTACTGTTGCCAAGTGCTTGACTGTTAACTGAAAGGTCTGGGTTGAATCCACCATTTAGTACTTGGGAGAAAGATGTGGCCATCAGCTTCTATAAAGATTTGTTACTGTTAAGTGCCATTGAGTTGGTTCTGACTCTTAGTGACCCTGTACAAGGTTTCCAAGGAGGTGGGTTTGAACTGCTAACCTTTAGATTGGTAGTTCAATACTTATCCTACATCACCACGCTAGGACTCTCGAGTTAGTCTTGGAAACTACCCTGTCCTATAGGGTTGCTGTGCATCTTAACTGACTTGCCAGCAAGGCCTTTTATATCCCAAATATGATCAATGTGGAATTCATATAAAATTATGCATCCACTTTACATTCTTTATTACTAAGTCTTTGAGGGCTTGTGTTTACTTTACACTTGCAGCACCTCTCAATTTGGAATAGGCATATTTCAAGTGTTCAGTAGTCATATGTGGCTATTGGCTACTATGTTGGATAGCACACACTGAATTAATAATGTAAATAAAAATTATATAGTAGAAGTCTGTGGAGTAGAGGCGAGATGAGGATAGGCAGACATGCTACACAGACCCTCTAGGAATTCCAGCTAGGGCCAGGAACTCCACTGTCATATCCTTCCCACACCCACCCTATGAGCTCCATGACTGGCAGGAACCCCGTCATTGCTTTTCCCTCTCCAGGTCCAACAACTGCACTGTTGTTGTTTTTTTACAGTGTACTTTTTGCCTTACAGTATATTTTTTTTTATTTCTAGCCTTGCTACCTATGGATGTTAATCTTGTTTGGAAATAGGACATTCTTTGTTATGCTAATGAATCTTTATTCCTGGGGTAGGTTCTAAATCCATCACTTCTGAGTAATAAAATGAGATTACACACAGAAGCCAGGATGACAAGACTTCATCTCTCATACTTCAGACATATTATCAAGAGGGATCAGTCTTTGGAGAAGGAGCTCATGTTTGGTAAAGTGGAAAGTCAAAAAAGAGACCCCCCCACACACACACACAAAAGAGATGGATTGGCACAGTGACAGCAGTAATGGGCTCAAGCTTAACAATTGTGAAGATGGCACAGGACTTGGTGACTTGGTGGTGTTTCATTCTATTGTGCATAGATAGGGTCCCTATGACACAGAACTGATTCAAGGGTACCTAACAACAACCCCCACCAAATACTGTATATCTGTTGGCATTCTAGTCCCTCTGCCTGTGGATGTAATCCTGTTTGGAAATAGGTTTTTCTTTGTTGTGTAATTCGATTTTACTCAAGTGGGGTGGGTGGTTTCTAAATCTTCCTCATTTCTGAGTAATAAAGATTAGGTACAAAAGCATTTTGCACAAGGGAAGTCATGTGAGAATTGTTTAGGAGCCTTGGAACCCTAGCCCCAGGGTACTGATAAGGAAAAAAAATCTGCCCTGCCAAGATCCTGATTTGGCTGTTTAGCCTTTAGAATGAGGAGAAAAGTGTCTGTTCTTTAAAGCCACCCACTTATGAGAAATAACTCTTGTTGACATGGTCCATCTTCAGGACTAGTAGAAGTCTTGGGGGCAGTAGGCTAGCACAACAAAAAGAGCTCAGTGGAGGGGAAGAACTAGTTTGACCACCTAGGAACTTTAAAATAAGAATACAATCATCAAGGAAATAGGGGAAGTTCATGGGGGAAGGGGGAAACTAACTTTAATTGAAAACCTTGGGAGGAGATCCTTAACTCCATAGTATCTGGTAGAAGGGGGACTGGGAGGAGGGGCTTTTTAGAGACAGGGGAATGAAACTGTATGAGGCCCAGCAATGAGGCTCATCTGACGGGTGTCTACTGGACTGGGTGCCTGATTTTGTAAAATCAAATAAAGAAAACTTTGCTCTTGCTAAAATGAGTACAGATTGGATTGCTTGAGCATTTGTCAGTATCGACAACATTTCTCACACACTTGTAGTATTTGTGATATTGTAACACTGGTAGCTAAGTGAGGGGGTTATGGCACAAGGCCAATAAAGGACTTATAAAACCTTATCTACTGTAGTTTAACCTGTAGTCCTACCAATCAACCTCCACAAAGTAGACTGGGTGGGTCGCTTCCTTCTCAGGGCTGCAAGGACAAAAGTCAGTGAAGGAATGGAATTCCATGAACTTTTGGAGGATCCCCTCATATGTACTCCTGGGTGTGTTCTTGTCAGAAATGTTACTTTTGCCATAGGCTAGTATATGTTAGGAGTCCTGGTGTGGAACTGTAGTATAAGCACTAGACCACAAGGTTGACAATTCAAATCCACCAACCACTTCCTGGAAATCCTTTACGGAGTCGGAACTGACACGATGGCACTTAACAACAACAAAGTAGATGTTAAGGTGGAACATGACAATAATTTTTGTTTGATGCCAAAGGTGGTCCTAGTTTGTGTTGGCTCACCGAACGTACTTTTCTGTGAGGGTCTTGCTGTACGTGCTTCACCAGGTGCATCACGACAGTCTACATGACGCTTGGAAGTGGGCAGGGCTCCTTTGCCTGTAATCCGGTATCCGTTCTCTGGAAGCAGAAAGCTGTGGGTGGGAGGGTTTGGCTGGTGTTCGCAGAAGCCACCAGGGACAGCACTCATGCAGTTTGGAAGATCCGTCTGGATGCGTTAAATTCTAGGGCAAGTTAGGGTTTACGGAGCTGCGCCTCATGCATGCGCACTCCCAGTCAGCTGAGCTGCTTGTTGTCACATGATGCGGGGCGGTGCCTATTGGGCTAGAGGGAGGACAACGGGAGGGAAGTGAACCAACGGCGGGATCGGCGGCAGTGGTAGCGGTAGCATGGCCACTTTCTACGGGGGTGTGGAGGGGTGAGTGCGGTCTGGTGGAGGGAGCCTGGGAGGGTCAGCCTGGGCCATCCGCGGCCTCAGTGCGGGGCGGACGGCCGTGGCTAGGGCAGCAGGAGGGGGCATTAGGCAGGCAGGTCCAGCAGTTTGGGACTGCGGGGGGCCTTCTGGTGAAGTAGTGGGAGCATGCGTAGGGGTGTCCATGCGCGTGCAGGCGTGTGCTTGGCAGGGACCCTGCTTGTGTCAAGGCAACATCCTGGTGGGAGGGTCCTTCGTGCTTCATGGCGAAACCACGCCTCTTTTTCCCATGAACGACCCCTGTCCGGGCTTCTCCTACCGGAAAAGCAGCCTCTTTGCCCTATCCCGGACCCTGGAGATTGGTTTTCAGAACAGGTGTCAGATGTGAAGTTGCTAGGTGGGGTGAATGCCAGGACAAAGATTGCTGGAGGGTATCTGGAAGCTGGAGTAGCATCAGGCCAGAATGCAGTTGCCTTGCCCTGATGGTAGTAACCCACCCCCTCCCAGGGCACTCTAGGTGCCTCACACTAGGTTGAAACACTTATTATTTTGGTATTCTTCCTGTTCATAAGCTTTACTTTTTTCAATATATGTATCTCTTGGTATGACTATGGGCAAACTTTTTACTTCATTGAACTTGTATTTTCAAATGTGTACAATGAAGGGAGGGATGAACAAGATTGACTGCTAAATCCTCGGCCATGACTTATTCTGGGAATCGATGTGTCAAATCTGGGCGTAGTACAGGGCGGCAGTCATTGTCAGCTAGGGGACTGTGCAGTCTGAGATTGTCTCCACTTGTACCTCCAACTCACTGTTGATTTATGTACTCCCAAAGAATTGTTTATTGCTGTTTAATATGATACTGAAATCCTATATCTGTTGCGGTTTTTCATTTTTAAACATTAGTAGAGAAACTTGCACGTATTCCTGTTATTCTGTAGTCATCTGATCTGGTTTTTCCAGTTCTTAATAAGATTCATTTGGTTATTGAGTTTGCTACCTCAGGTATTAACTGCCCCTGAAACTTAATGTCATTTGAACTTGTGCTGCACAGTTTCAACATCCTCTTCTAAGACATTCCAGAAAATGCTCATCAGTAAAGAACCGGAGGTCACACCACCACAGCCCTCCCGCCTTTGTCCCAGTAATCAGCATTTGAAGGTTTAAGTGCTTAAGTCAGTAACTCACCCTCACCCAGTTGTTCTGAGCCTTACAAGGCTCTTTTGAAGACCTTGGCAGCTGGAGCTTCATCTTGAAAGACTACCTTTAGCTATTGCAATAAAAGGAAAGAAAAATGTCATTCTCTTTAGCCTCATTTACTAAGGGTTAATGTGTCCCAGGTTCTGGCTAGTCACCAGGCTAGAAGGATGGTATGGAATTTGACCCAATGGAGTTCATAGTCTAGTTAAGACACTGGCCAAAAAACAAAAAAACCACAACCCAACTTAATTACACTCAAAACAGAGGGATCCTCGAGAGCTATGGGACATTTAACTAATGGAGCCATGGGGGTGGGAAGGTTTTGATAACTAGGTGGTATAGCAGTAGGGTCTTGAAGAATAAATAGGATATCCTCAGGGGAAGATGAAGAATTACGTGTCAGTCCATCAGCACAGCAAACATCAAACCACAGAGAGGGGTTTGGGAATGGTAATTGGGGTTACTGAAACTGCTTCCTTCACACTGGGCTTTCAAGGGCTCCACAAGCTTGGCTGTGAGCAGGACTGAGTGCCCCCTTGTGTTCTGTAGGGGAGGTACACAGTCCAAGGTACTTTTACTCTCTGAGGATGGGCAGATCCTGGCAGAAGCGGATGGACTCAGCACAAACCACTGGGTAAAGGCTGCACTGAGGGACCAGTGGGCTGGATTGTGGTTTTACTCTCTGTAACCCCAGTTGAGGTGGTGGCTGGGGCTCATAGAGCAGTGTGCAGGGGCAACACAGACCCTGCAAGTCTTTTTTAACCCCGCCTTCCCTTGATTGGGGCCAGCTGATAGGAGCAGACAAGTGTGTGGAGCGAATCAATGAGATGGTGAACAAGGCCAAGCGGAAAGCAGGGATGGATCCTCTGGTACCTCTGCGCAGCTTGGTGAGTCTGGTTGGAGCCTGGGAGTTCAGTCATCAGTGACATGAAGGTGACAAAGTTTGGATTAGATAAGTTCAACAACATCCTCCCAGACTTTGTTCCTGGTCTAGAACACATGAGCTCATCCATTCTTTGACTTCAGTTGCCCTACGAGCCACAAGTGTGTTGGAACAGCACAAGGCTTTGGAGAGCCTTTGAGACCTTGGTTGTAGTCCCAGTTTTGCTGTTCACTATCTGTGTGACAAACAACATTCCTGTTTCCTCCTGTGGAAAATGAGGGTAGCTGTCTTAGAGTGTAGGAACTAAAAGCCATCTCAAAGTGGTTAGCAAAGAGCCTGTTTATTCCAAACCAAGCCTGTCTCTGTAGCTCCCTGTGCTTCTCTGGCTGATTTTCCTGTTATGGGCACTGCTGTCCTTCCAAGCTCCAAACCTGACATTGTTGAATCCTCCATCCAGTCCCAGTCTAGACCATCCTCTCAGCCACAGCCTTCTATGGGGTTCACTCTGGGGTGGAAGGAGGATTGGGGCTGGAGAAGCAGGTTAAGCACAGATGTGGAAATCAGGGCAGGCATTTGGAGGGGCAGGGAATGAAAAAAGAGCTGTGTCTGGAGCCCTGCTCGCTGGCTCGCTCACCCCCTTCGTGGCCTAGGGCCTCTCCCTGAGCGGTGGGGAGCAGGAGGACGCGGTGAGGATCCTGACGGAGGAGCTGAGGAACCGATTTCCCTACCTGAGTGAAAACTATCTAATCACCACCGATGCCGCCGGCTCCATCGCCACAGCTACACCGGATGGTGAGGAGGTGGAGGGAGGGGTGAGGTTGAGAACTGATTTCCTTGGGAAAGCCCCTTTGGGTAGCTAGTAAAACTTGTCTTCCAAGGAGCTGGAAGGCAGCCTCCATCATAGTTTCTCCGTAGCTTCCTTCTGTAGCTTAAGTGTTCCTGAGCCACGACTGAGCAAGAAGAGGGAAGGGAGAAAGGGTATTTTGAAGAGGAGCTAATAGTGGAGTGGAACTTACAAACCTAGGTGCAGAAGGGAGCCCCTGGGGGCAGTGGAGTGATGAAGGCAGGCTGGAGACAGCAGTAGGGACCCAGAAGAAGGTGAGAGGAGCTCTGTTAAGAGCTTGACATTGGAACCCTGCTTCCTGTTCACCAGCTGAACCTTCCCAGAGATGTTACTTAACTCTGAGTTTCAGTTTTCTCACAAGTGAAATGAGGTTAATTGTATTCATAAGGTGGTTTAAGGTATTGAGTGAGCCTCACTCAGTGAACTGGATTTAGCAAAATCTTGGCACACAGTAAGCACTCAGTTAAAAGCATATAGAGTTGTCATTTGAAAGCTGGCTGGGGGCGGAGCCACACTGCCTAGAGATGCAGACCCCTGTTTTCCTTTGCTGACACCACCCCCCCTTCAAGGACTCTACATGATGGGAATTTCTCTGAGACCCAGGTCCTCCAGGTCTTCTACCTCCAGGCAGGAAACTAGCTGAACTCATTCTCCTCCCCAAGATTGGGTGGGGAGTCCCTTTTTTGGGGATGTTTTCTGTCCTGCACTTCATCCCAGGTGAATTCCCAGTGCAGGGCCTTGGCCACACTCAGCCTCCTGTGCCCTTTCTCTAGGTGGGGTTGTGCTCATCTCTGGGACAGGCTCCAACTGCAGGCTCATTAATCCCGATGGCTCCGAGAGTGGCTGCGGTGGCTGGGGCCACATGATGGGGGACGAGGGCTCAGGTAAGCTCCACTCATGCTCTCTAGGCCTGACTCAGGGTCTTGTACCGTTTTCCTCTCTAATCTCAATGTGGGATCAGCACAAACTGAGCCACAAGGTCAGCAGGTCAAACCCACCAGCTGCTCCTTGAAAACCCTGTACAGAGTTGCTGGGAGTTGGGACTGACTTGATGGCACTTAACAGTGACAACACCCTCAGCATAGTGACTCCATAGGATAAGCACTGGACCACAAGGTTGGCAGTTTGAGCCCACCAGCCACTTTGCTGGAGAAAGTTGAGGCTTTCTGTTCCTGCAAAGATTTGGTCTCTGAGATGGCCCACTCTGAGTCTAGGATAATGACCAGGAGACCATAGATGTACTATACTGACTGCCAGCCATTCTCCAGCAGTGACTTGCCCCTCAGCCCAGTGCCCACCTGTAGTTCTTAGGGCAGAGTTGCAACTAATAAGGTTACGGCCATAGATGCCAGGACATGCTCTACCAGTCTGCTTCAGGGAAAGGGGTATAGAAACTCCTCCTACCCTCACCTCTGTAGAGGACACCATGTGTACAGAGTAGAACTGCTCCACAGGGTTTTCAAGAAGCACATTGGCAAGCCCTTCTGAGGTGCCGCTGGGTGGGTTTAAACTGCCGACCTTTTGGTTACTATTCAAAGACTGAACTGTGCCACGCTGAGACTTCATTCTGTATAGATGGCATGTGTATGATGTCATGGGGTCCTTGGGGTCCAGCTCTCAACACTGACTCCATTGGCAGCTCAAAGACCTTGTCTTCGTCTTGGTGGGGGGTGCGGGGTGCCAGTGTGACAGCTGCACTGATTGTCTCTCCTCTAGCTTTCCCCTATCTGGGTCAGTCACACACAGTTTGATTAGAGCCCCCTCAGACTGGGAATCAGAAAGCCTAGTTTGTTGTAAAACTCAAGTAGATCATTAACCTTCTCTGGATCTGAGGTTGGGGAGTTTGTCCCCATCTTCTCATCCCTTTCTGCACTCTTCAGCCTACTGGATTGCACATCAAGCAGTGAAAATAGTGTTTGACTCCATTGACAACCTAGAAGCAGCGCCACATGACATTGGCTACATCAAGCAAGCCATGTTCAACTATTTCCAGGTATGCTCCCTAGCCCCAGGAGATGTGTGCACTTGGGGTCGGGCAGTGGGAAATTTTGGGCAGGAGTGGAGGCAAGAGAGAGACAGCTGGGAAAAGACATGTTGTGGAGAGTTGCAGCTGGAGGCTGGAGAAGTGATAGGATTTGGAATGACTTGGCCAGTTCTCAGAGGGTGCTAGGCATGATGAAAGGGTGGGTTGGGCACAAGTGGTTAGCCAGACAGCTCGACACACCCCCTGAGAGGTGAAGGCAGATGGTATTCCAGGCCGGGTGAAAAGTGCAGGTGAGGTCAGGAGACAGCGCAGCGGCCCAGAGACTGCAGGGAAAGATGGATCAGGCATGTTGAACAATAGCTCCTTCTGGCCTGTATGGCTTGGAAAGGAGAGCCCATTTAGAGGTGGGGAGTGAGAGTCTTAGGGAGAAAGGCAATTTCTACCCAGAACATTGGAGATTGAGTTTCCTCTTGCTGTACTTAGTTCTTCTGTTAGGAAGCAGCGTTAGCTGAACCAGAATAAAAGGTGTGAGAGGAAAAAGGAGCCGTGTTCATTTGATAGATCTCTGCTGAGTAGGTACACCAGTACTGTTGACCCACTTAGGTGAGCTGGACTGAAGCCAGGAGGGAGATCAGAAATGCTGTGTTCTCAGGGCTTGGGGCCGGGGACAGCAACAATGAGGGACCTGGGAGAAAAATCATTTCCTGTAGGAAGCGGAGCAAAGCTATCCTGACTCAGCAGATTGGTTTTAAACGCCATCAATAGTGTCTACCACTCTCACCTGTATCTCTCAGTCCACTTTCCAACCGCTAGAGTTGCCATAGCTTAAATGAGATTGTGTACATAAAATACATATTCATACATTGCTGTAGGTGCTCAAATTACTGCCTCTCCTTCCATTTACTAAAATGTACTCCTAGGGGGGTCGCTGGTTCTGTAGGATCTTAAGAGGTGTTAAGGGTGTGTATGTTTGTTGGGGTAGATGAAGCAGGCCTTCTGTGGTTAAATAAGTTTGGGGAAAACAAAGTTAAATAGATTTCTTGGTTGCAGGAGTAATCAGTGCCTTTCATTTGCAGTTGGGCATTGTGACTCTCCAAGGGGGAGCAGCAATGTGCAGTATTCCTTAGACTCCTTTGATCAAAGAAATCTTTCCAAGAGCAACTCAAAGAGCCCCAGAACACACTTTGGGAACCATAGATCCATGCCCTGTGCTGCCTCTGAAGTAATCAGCAAGGAGCAGTAAGATCCATATTGGGGAAACAAAACTTTCCTCAAGTGAGAGATCTCAAACCCTACTTTCTAAATGTAATAAAAAAATAAACCATTCTTGTTCTTCTAATAATATAGACAGGAAAACCCAATTTGAATGGGCTTTTGTTTCTGATGATTATGTGTGTTCTCATTCTCTCTCAGGTGCCAGATCGGCTAGGAATCCTCACACACCTGTATAGGGACTTTGATAAATGCCGGTTTGCTGGGTTTTGCCAGAAAATTGCAGAAGGTATTGGAGGCGGGGCAAGGTTTTATCTGGCTTTCTTCCCAGGACCTCCCTAGTTGAAGGGTGGAGTGGGATTTGAATGGGAGGTGGAAGCCAAGCTCCCTATGAGCAGGTGCCCTCAATTCCAGACTTTGGGTGGTGGCAGAAGGGCACTCAGGTTGTGTTAATTGTTCTGTGTTATCTGTGTTTGTGTCCTGGCTGGGTAGGCTGGATGTCTCTTTGAGAAATTTATGAAGCACTTGTTCTTTGGACAAATCTGTAACTTCATTAAAACAACAAACAAACACCTATTATACCCAAAGAAGAAGGAAATTATGGAGAGGTTATGCATCTTTGTTGGTGGTCAGGAGAGACAAGGCCTGCACATTGCTCTTTCTCCACTGTGAAGTCCATGCACCCTTAATTTGGATATCCACAGCCTCAGGGTGTTCACTCTCAGAGCAAGACCTGCTCTTGTCCCTACTGTGTTAGAGCAAGCAAGGGGCTACCAACAGTGGGCTTGCAGGTGGGTGCGGGGCATCAACAAGAATACTGGCTAGCTACTCAAGCAGAGTCCTGGAGCCCTCAGAGCTGAGGGGCCCTGAGGGACAGGCTCTCATGCGCCAGAGTGCAAACCAGGTGCCAGCGTGCTCTTCTAATGCGCCTCCTTCCAGGGCCTGCAGTCAGGCCCCTCCTAGGGTGGGGGTGGAGGGGAGAGTGGCTGCATTGGAGGCTTGTCATGCAGTAGGCGTCTATCCTTGACTTCAGCCTCCATTAGCTATTCACCAGCTCCCCCTCATTACCCAGGTGCTGAGCAGGGGGACCCCCTCTCCCGGTTTATCTTCAGGAAAGCTGGGGAGATGCTGGGCCGACACGTTGTAGCAGTGTTGCCTGAGATTGACCCGGTGAGTTGAGGTGGGAGGGGAAGATTGGGAACTGCTGGGCCAGATTTGGCCTTTTCCCATCAGGGCCGGGGCTGACTCCACAAACTTGGTGCAAACGGAATTACTCTTTCACTGAACCAAGGGCATGAAGAATGTTCTGTAGAATGCCTTGTTGTTGTTGTTGTTGTTGTTATGTGCCATGGAGTGGGTTCCAACTCATAGTGACCCTGTACAGGGTCTCCAAGACTGGAAATCTTTATGGGAGCAGAAAGTCTCATCTTTCTCCCTGCGGAACAGCTGGTAATTTCAAAATGCTAACCTTGCAGTTCGCAGCCCGATTCGTACAGCATGAAAAAATACTTTGGTCAGGTGCCTCCCCTCTGGGGGTTCCTGATCTGTACTTGAATAGGACACTGGTGTCAGGGACTGCATACACTGTCTCTGTCTCTCCTGTTCTTACCCATCCTCCCTTATCATTCCTTCTGTGGGGGTTGCTTACCCAGTTTCTGAACTGTCCCTGTTTTCTTGTCTTTTGTTTGTTCATTATGGCCTACCTTAGGGTCCTTGGTGGTACAGTGGGTTAAGTGTTGGACTGCTGACTTCAAGGTCAGTTCAAGCCCTGCAGCCGCTCTTCAGGAGTGTGAAGATTTACAGTCTCAGAAACCCTGTAATGATTTACAGTCTCAGAAACCCTATGGAGCAGATCTGCTCCACCCTGTAGGGGCATTATGAGTCTGATCAACTTGACATAAGTGGGGTTTTTGGGTTTGAAGGGGAGTAACTGGGATAGTGTGGGTTTGTCTTAAACTACTGTAGAAGTCCTAGGGAGTCTTGCTCAGCTCCCAGCATCCTTTTTCTGCCTTCCGCCCAGGTCTTGTTCCAAGGGGACACTGGTCTCCCTATCCTGTGTGTGGGCTCTGTGTGGAAGAGCTGGGAGCTGCTGAAGGAAGGTGAGTTTGGAAGTTGGGGAGAGGGGGCTGGGAAGGAAGTGGCCCAGGAAAGCTGCCTGCCCAGGGAGTGTTTGAGGCGGCAGGGGTGGGGATGGGGTTCCTGTTCCTAGCCAGTGGATGAGTGCCTGATGCTCCAGGCCAAGGCCCTCAGCCTTCCCTATGCCAGTAAGCCCTGATATAATTTTCCAGCCTAGCTCCCACAGACTCTTGAAAAGATCTTTTCCAAAAGACTTATTAAATAATAACCACTTTTTAAAAATTAAAAATTTAACTTCAGATGAGTTTCTGAGCATGTTACAATTCATGGTGACATCCCTAGTTGCAGCCAAAGGAGAGCAGTGTGCCTTTTTAGCCCTTGCAGCCTTGTTTCAGGCAGTTGGATGTTTTCTATCAGACATTCAAGCAGGCCCTCATTTCGTTCTTGGAGTCCTCACATCGGGTGTGTTGGGGCTGTGTAGGAGGGGGCTGCTGGCTCCAGCGGCCCCACAGCTGTTACTGGGTTCACGTGCTGTGGTTTGCCCCATATTGGGGGAGGCCTGGAGGCCCCCCCCCCCCCCCCCCGCCTCTGGGATCACCACAGGTGGCCCTAATTCTCAGGTCCAGGCCTCTTCCCTCCCCCTCCTTCTGGCCTCTCTCACAGGTGGCTGGAGGTCTCCCTCATTCTCTCTGCACTCTTTTCTCCAGGTTTCCTCTCGGTGCTGACCCTGGGCAGAGACACTCAGGCTCACAGCTCTTTCTCCAGCTTCACTCTGATGAAGCTTAGGCAGTCCTCAGCCCTGGGTGGGGCCAGCCTTGGGGCCAGGCACATTGGACACCTCCTCCCCTTGGACTACAGCGCCAATGCCGTTGCCTTCTACTCCTACACCTTCTCCTAGGGAGCTGGGCCTAACTCCACCCCCTCCAAGCCCAGTGAACATTGGGTGCTAGAAGGGAGGAGACGTTTTATTTTTTTTAAAGCAACACATAAAGAAGAAAATAAATGCACTTTACCTGCTCCCCAATGGGACTGTGTTCTCCAGCCAATGTTATGTGTAACAGCCTCAGTGCCATGTCAGGCTTAGTCCAAGGTTTAAAGCCCCACCCCAGCCTGTCCTCGTACACACCCATGTACTTGGGCAGGTCATTGATCTGCATGGGCTCCCCTCCCCCTCACTCCTACTGTGCAGCTGCTGGTTAACCTGTCTGTATCAGGGTAAATACTCCTCTCCAACCATGCTTTGTAGAAGCACATGTTCTCCCAAAGCACCACATGTAATAATCTACCCAGAGGCATGACACCCTCTGCAGTGAGTTTAGGGGACAGGGTACGTTTCTAATCCAGGGGAGTAGGTGAACCTCACTGGCACGGTCATGATGGGTGAACAGCACACTTGGCAGTTTTTCACACAAAAGTGTTCTGAGAGTTTATGAAGATTACTAAAATCCAAGAAGGCCAGTTGGGTACAATTTACCTAGTCCCACCTCTTCGTGGCTACTGCTGGCCTAGCCCTGGATAAGTGTTTGTTATGTGGTACTAGGAATGATGAAACAATCAGTGAAGAACAGACGTGGCTCCTAGTCCCTGGGCACCATCATTGATGAGTGAAGACAAGCTGAGTTTCCTGTTCTACCCCTGTTGTTTGGTGGACTGGAGACAGCCTTGATCCCCAGTGGCTGCCTCAACAGGTGCTTAGCATGTAACTGTAAACCATTAGAAGGCCTGGATCACATCCTAGGTACCAGTCTCTAAGTTTATGTTGTTGAGTGCAGTCGAGTGGGTTCTGACTCTTAGCAACCCTGTATAGGGTTTCCAAGGCTGTAAATCAGCAGGAGCAGAAAGCCTCATGTGTACCAATAATTCTAGGAACATCTTTGACTCAAATTTAGGTGCCCTTCCCCCCATAAGGTATCTGATGTAATGAGTAACTTAAATTTCTATTAAATACTTAGGGGGGTTGCTGTAGGGAGTTCTGTGTCTGCACTTGGAGCTCTACCTGCAGCTTCTGAGATCTGATTAGGTGGGTCTTGTGTATTGGTTTGTTTCCCAAGTCAGTTGACACTACCCTCACACACCTGCAACATTCATGTAGAACAGAATGGCAGCAGCTCTTATCCCCTCATGCCCTGCACAAGAAGCCAGAGCTTTGAACAAGAAGAACTTGAACAAGTCACTTCTGAAGGGACAGCCAGCCATCTACAACTCCATCCATGGTCCAGACTTGGTCAACTCTCAGTAAGTCTCTAATCTATCCCTTGTGAAAAACAATTGTAAAGAACAAGGACACACGAGAGGTACCATAACCCACTACCATCAAGTTGATTCTGACTCACTAGTGACTTCTTAGGAATGAGTAGAACTGCTCCATGGAGGTGCTCAAACTATCAGTGTTTAGGAGGGCAGCCTGCCTCATCTTTATCCTGTGGAGTAGCTGGTGGGTTTGAATGGCTGACCTTGTAGTAAGCAGCCTAATATTTAGCTACCAGGGTTCCTTTGCTATATTCCATAGGCCCTAGTAATACTGTTGAGTTTTTAAAAAGTGATTTTTGGAGTAATGGAGTTTGCACCATCATTTTTATATACTAGAACCGGGATCAAACAGTATGTTGGACTTAGAATCTAAACTTTCTGGATGAAAAGTGGAATTTATAAATGCTGATAACCAATCAATGCATGAAATCCAGTCATTTTGTCCAAGGTCTTCAGTTTGAATGCAGTGGATGCTTTAGAGCAGAGCAAGGAAAACAACTTGATTGATCCTGTAGTCTTAGGACAACAGCAGCTAGTTGAAAAAGTGAAGACAATATTAAAATGTACGACATCAGATTGAGCTCCTAGTTCCTTTACCCAATGAAGAAGTAATGAAGTAACTTACGTTCCAGGTAGTAGGGTCTTGGGGTGACACGGTAGGATAAGCACCAGACAGCTTACTGTAAGGTTGGTGGTTCAAACCCACAAGCTGATTCTCAGAAACCCTACATAGGGTCACTATGAGTCAGAACCCACTCAGTGGTATATACCAACAAAGGGTCCTATCACATGGAAACTGAGGTGCATAAACACCTAAGTGGTTTTAATATTTTACCCCTTTCAGTTTAAAATTTCCGTTCTTCCACCAACAAAGTGTTAGGAGTAAGTCCTGGTTTTCTCTACTTCTAAGGCACTGAAGATGGACACATTCATCTCTTCTGATCCTACATAGCCCTGTCACAAGACAAAAGCCTGGGACAAGCATCGCACTGTCTTTACCTGTGTGACCTTTGTGGACTGCATGGCTCATCTATACCATTCATTCAGCAACATGTCTTCTAGGTACAATGGGTGCACCAAAGATGAAAAATTGCAACATTTTTCAGTTGGTCAAAGTTCATCGAACTGCCTTAAAATCTCTGTATTTTTCTGTGAAATACCTCCATAAAAAGTTATTTTAAAATGAACACACCATCCACATCTTAAAAGATGTCACAATAGACTCCTGTGAACCCGGGTGGAGACCTGGCTGGCCAGCAATGTGGCAAGACCTGGGGACTCTTTGGCCCAGAGTCAGTGACATAGCCAAAGAGGACTAGAGTGGAGAGTGAAGCGTGTAGCTGATAAGAGAGGGCATATGTACAAGAACACCCACACTTGCAGATAATACCCACTTGACCTGGCTTCAATGACTGGATGATCAGAGCTCAACTAGAAGAAGAAACAATAGGAAAAAAAGAGTAATCTGATACAATTTGATGAACTTGACCTACACCTATGGATGCAGTAGCTCAAAAGAGGGAACAAATCTTTATAGCAAGGATCATTCCTACCCCCTCCATACACAGAGTAGATAGGGATGGAAAACTTGGACATTGGCTACCCAAAATAGGGGCGCTACAAAGGCAAGAAGTGACTGGCTTACAAGCTCTCAAGAGAGAACCTAGATACAGAGGGCATGAAGGAAGGTAGAATCTCCACTGAGTAGTATCCAATCTGTCTAGGCGGGGCTGATGAAATGAAATGTGGATAGGTCTCTTGTGATACAATAGTGAATAATTGTTATCAGGACTGATTGTGAGAGTTGGAAATGTAAAAGTTGATGTTTTGTAGCAAAAGGAGGGGAGTGGTTAACTTTGCAGTCTAGGAGCGGAGGTCTCTGGGACCATCAAGGGAAAAGAGCAGAGAGCAGGACCCTACCCAGAGAAGCAGTGATGACTGAGATGGAGGCAGAGATGATGATGTGGAGAGATGGAGCAGCTGGGGACTTTAGACACAGAGAGGGAGAGGGGCTGTGTGCTGACGACCAGGGGCAGGCTTGTAGTGTATACCCTTTGGTTGGTTGATAATGCATGGAGGGATTGTAACCATGGCAATGAAACGATATACAATAGGATGAATGTAAAACTAATTTTCTCCCATGTAAACTATCACATAATTCACAATAAAACATTAAAAAAAAAGTCACAATCTAATTCCGGGGTAAGTTAAAAAGTACTGCTACAAATTAATAGACAACTGTATTAAACAGTATCAAAACGTGAAGCTATTGGTTTTCTTTATACCCTTCATCTACGTCTACACACTTCTTTCTGAATGTGGGGTTTCCATCTCTCTGACCCTCACCTGAAGAATTCGCTCCTCTTCAATTTAAACCAAGTCAAAATGGCAGCTTTCACATCCATGAGGGACTCATGTTCCTTTTAAATGTCATTTGAGTTCTAGGAGCAAACAGAAGCCAGAAGGGGCAAGATCAAGACTGTAGGGTGGATGGTGTAAGATGTCCCAACCAAATTCTCCTAAGACAGCCCTTGCTACCCTCAAAAGAATGAGCAGGTACATTGTAGTGGTCAAGAAAATTCCTCTGCACAACTTTCCTGGCCTTTTTCTCACTAATGCAGTTTTCCATTTTCTTAACTTCCTCCTAATAAATCCCTGTGATCATCCTGTGTCCTTTGAGAAAATCAAGATTATCCCTTTGGGATCCCTAAAAACAGCCACCATAACCTTCTGCTTTGAATTCATCTTTGAGATCTTCCAAGCTTCCTGAAAGCTTGATCCATCCGAAAATTGTTTTAAGTGGACAGTATTCCTTGTAAACTTGTTGCAGAGCTTCAATAATTTAAGATAATGCACTTGAGTTTAGCTAAAAATGTTATCCTTGCCTGACTTAAAAATTATCTTCCCCCAGTCACCCATGACACTAAAAGCTATCTTTTTAAAAAGGCAGCCTAACAAAACCAAGACAAATGTATTACTGAGAGAACTTGTCTGTAGCTGCCCACTGACCAGAGAGACAGGTTTAAACATGTTTTGTTTGGAATAAATACGTGTATGTATGAACTAGAACCCTAGTAGCAATACTTTTGCCGTATAGACCCTGTATACATACAACCTGTTAGCTGCCACTGAACCAGTTCCAATTTATAGTGACCCCCATGTGTGCAGAGCACTGCTCCATGGAGATTTCAAGGGTCTGGCCTTACAGAAGCAGATTGCTAGACCTGTCTTCCAAGATACTTCTGTTGTGTGTGAACCACTCTAATAGGTGAGTGTTTAACCATTTGTACCACCCAGGGACTCATAACTCTAGCACCTCAAAAGTCTACACTTAAGCAAGACACCTCAAATCCTACCCCTCCACTCCTGTTTTATGGTGATAAATAAAAGGCCTCAAAGCAAAGCTCAGGGATACTGGCTGGCTCCATGATCTTTTTACTATCTGATCAAGTTCCTCAACTATCACTGGGAGTTTTAAACTTGTGTATATTAAGTACACATTATCAAATTAATCTCCAGGGACGACTATGTGACTTCTTGTCCCAGTGAATAAGCCAGCATTTGGTACAAAACAAGACTCTCAAACCTGCTTAGTAGTTGAAAGGTTGTTAGAGAATCCCTTTACTACGTAGGAGTCCATTTTGCCCAGAAAGAAAATAACCAGATTTTCTTCTAGTCCAAGGATTTCTATTAGCACTTTACTCAACTTTATATGCGTTATTACTATTAACAATGACAACTATGTACTAAGTGTAAGCCAAGAGTAAATAAAAA